AGGGGTTTCAGAAAGTTCGTGGAAAGTTTTCATTATCTTTCTGTTTCACGTTCTCCAAGAACTTTGGAAGCCCCTTTGCATTAAGGCAGTGCTTGCTTTGTTGGGAAGGGTCATTAGGTAGCACCTGGCACACATGCTATCTAGTGGTAGTTGTTATTTTGTTGTTTGGGTTCTTGTTGAGGAACCCTAGTGGCACAGTAGGTGATGTATTGCATTGGGCTGGTAATTGTAGGCAGAAGTTCGAAACCAGCAGCTGCTTCTTGGGAGAAAGATGCAACTGTATTTCCATAAAGAATTGCAGTCTAAGACATCCTCAGGGGGAGTTCCACTCTGTCCTGTCGGACAGATGAGTCAGAATTGTCCAGTTTTCTCCCATGAGTCAGAATTGACTCGAGGGCAGTGAGTTTGGGGTTGCTTTCTGCTAGGCATGATGGCTGCTAACCTGAAGGTAAGTGGGTTGAACCCATGCTGTGGTCCATGGAAGAAAGGCCTGGAGAACTGCGTCTGTAACGATGACAGCGAGGAACCCATGGAGCTGTTCTACTGTGTACCACGCGGTTGTCATGCAGTGGCCTTGACTTGATGCAGTGAGTTTTCAGCTAGGCATTAGAATTTTACAATATGGGCTGTACATCTGTCCTTAAACACAGACCCAGGTGTCTAAAGTGTAGATATGGCACAGAGAAAGGACTACCATATTTGGACGATGATGTATGCTTTTGTTATTTTTTCTTAGTTTTTCTATCTTTCACTAAAAAGTAAGGTAGATGTTTTTGTCCATTTTACTTTTTGTTTTTAATTTTAATGAATCATTTTATTGGAGGATCTTAAAGCTCTTAGAACAATCCATACATCAATTGTATCAAGGACATTTGTACATATGTTGTCATTATTATTTCCAAAACATTTTCTTTCTACTTGAGCTCTTGGTATCAGCTGCTCTTTTTTCCCCTCCCTTCCCTACCCTCCTATCTCTGCGAACCCTTCATAATTTATAGAGTATTTTAATTTTCATATTTTGTACTGTTCACTGTCTCCCTTCACCCACATTTCTGTTGTTTGTCCCCCTGTGGGGGTGGGGGGCAGTTGTTGTGCATTGATTATTGCGATCAGTTCCCCCTTTCTCCCCTTTTATGTATATTTTAATTGCTTTATTCCTAGCACCTAGAATAGTAACATGACATTCGGTATACATTTATTAGTTCTAGAGGGAATGACTTTTGATAGCTACTGCCAAATTCCATCCCCCCAAAAGATTACTGGTTATATTTCCACCAACAGTATATGATAATAGTTTTTAATCCATATCCTTACCAGTGTTGCTTTGTAGGATTTTAGAGAATTTTGCTAAGTATGCTATACTATATTTGCATTAAATGACCAAACAAATACATTTTCCCTCATCTGCTACCATTTGCCAGCAATTCTTAGCTTTCTGCTGCTCCTTAGTAACAGAACCCGTAAGTTCCTCTCTTCCCATTCCTTCCTGAGCCTACCCATCAGGCTTTTGTGCTTTCTACGCCACGAAACTGCTCTTGTCAGCATCATTTGTGATGTCCATTAGGCCCCTCCAGAGATGTTCTCATCTGATCACTTCTTTCTTCTAGAAATATTTTCCTTTTTTCCCTCCTGTTTGATTGGTGGCCTTTTTTGGATCTCCATTGATAGCTCCTTCTCCTCTACTCATACTCTACAGGTTGATGTATCCTAAGGCTGTGATCTGACCTCTCCTCTCCTGCCTCCATTTTTTTCCCTAATAGAGAGTTTAACTCATGTTAAGCCTTGATAGGTCTGAAATCCACATCGCCAACTCTGACTTTTCTCCACCGCTCCAGACTCATTTATCAGCTGCCTTCTTGGCAGTAGGACTTGGTGTCTAGTAGACAAGTTAAACTTACCTTGGCCAAAGCATAACTGTGACTGTGATTCTCTCTGTATGGAATAATCTCTGAGCCTGAGGCCCCCTTCTAAGAAGGGGACCAGTAGTACTACTTGGTAGAGTTGTGAAGATTAAGTTAGTTTATTAAGAGCACTTAATTTTGCTAATAGCTATTATTTTGTTGTTTTGTTGCTATTGTTTTAGGGAACATATAAGGGGCATGCATTGTAGTTGTGTTTTAGATGCATGTGAAATATACAAATACAAATGCACTATCGGCCTTTGGAATGATTAGTGTAATAAGAGATATCCTAGTGCCTTGGAAGAATGATCCAAACCACTACCTTAATTAAGCATCCAGAGATTACTTCATGAATTGGGAAGATAAGGATATTTAATTATCTTGAGTTTGACATGTGTGTTTCTGGGTGGCGAACAGTTAATATGCTTTGCTGCCAAGTAAGCGTGGCAGTTTGAAGCCATGCAGAGGAGCCTCAGACAGAATGTCTAACAGTCTAGTTCTGGGGAAAGTAAAAATTAGCCATTAAAAATGCTGTGGTGAGTCTAGGGGCGGCAATAGCTTGAGACATGATCTCCCCACAGTGTAGCATAGTGCTACAGAGGATAATATTGAGGACACAATGTGGGGAGTGAGTCTGGTTCAACCCTCCCCTTACTCCCCTTACTCCCTTTACCCAACCCCCCACCCCCAGTGGGGCAGAACAAACAGGGAACATAACAGACCACCACTGGGAGCAAAGTCATGAAGCCCCTGAGGAATCCCCCAAAATAGACTTCAGACTTGGGCTGTGCCTGGAGCACCCCCAGACTGGTGGGGAGATAGTCATAAATGTCAGGAGACAGACCTGGAACTACATATAGGGTTTTGTTGTTGTTATTTGTTGTCTGTCTGTTGGTTGGTTGGTGTTTGTCTTCATTGCATCTGCTTTGTCTATCTATATACGATAAGCATGAGACACAAACTCGAGGAGAAAGCAATGGGACCGATGGTTCCTGGGAGGTCTCGGGAGAGGGGGAAGCAGGGGGAAGGGGGCGGTGAGCAAATAAGGTCACAAACATGGGAACAACTAGGGATCTAAAATCAATGGTAAGAGGGCGTAGAGTTCCTGGTGGTGGTGGAGCAGCCGTAATCTAGCTGTGAGGAATTACTGAGGAGGCAAACAAGGGGTGAACATGATAGTGGGACAGGAGGAACATAAAAGGAAATAGAGCAAAGAACTAGGAAGCAAAACTATTTATAGCGGTATAAACATAGAGCCGTACATATGTAAATATATTGATGCATAAAAATAGGGGTATTCACCTGTGTACATATATTTATATGGCAATACATTGAGGTAGGGGACAGACTCTGGGCCTCTAATATTCCCTCAACATAAGAACACTTTGTTCTAATGATGTGGCAGTGGGCGTTGCCCACTGCCCTGACATGATTGCTGAAGACAAACTGGGTGCTTAAACAAATGTGGTGAAGAAAGCAGATGGTTCCTGGCTATTAAAAGATATAGCATCTAGGGTCTTCAAAGCTTGAAG